CCTTCCCAGCTTAGGATCCCTCGTTGCAACCGCGCAGAAAATCGCGCGTTACAAGAAGTGGTTCGTCACAGGCCTGTGTCGGGATCCCTAGTCACTAAGAGCGGGTACCGCTCCCATCTTTTCCAAAATTCTTCCTCCTTCACACAGCCCCCATATCTACACCGTCGATAGTCTGCCTGCAATGCAATCCTTAAGTTCTCCATCGCCCTTTCCTGATATGCCTGCAATGGGGGCTTCACTCCCTGTCTACAGCGGTCGTTTCGCAGTGTCCATACAGTCCACAACACTGCTGCTCGCACCATTTCCGCAGACAGCAGGTCTCCAAAGGGTGGCCTGCCAACTTTCATTAGCGCTCCCAGAAGGATGGCTGCGTCATCCTCCTCAGTGACTTCCAACGGCGTCCCATCTGCGTTTTCCTTGCTCCACCATGACCAAAAAAACTGAAGCTGCGGGCATTGTACCAATAAATGAGGGATCGTCTCCACTTGCCCACACCCCGCTGCGCATATCTGATCCCGGTGTTGGCTCTTAGTAGCTATCCATTGTGCTGTTGAGATTGCCAAGTGATAAATTTGCCAGAGTAATCCTGCCTGCTTCTGGTCCGGCAGAGATGTTAAGATGGCACTGTGACGAACCACTTTCTGTTCCGCGCAATTTTCTGCGCGACGACAAGGAAGGGGCTTAAGATGGGAAGGTTGGGCCAATTACGGGAGATCGGGATCGACGGGAAAATTGCATCGGTGTCCTCGCTTCTTCGTCTTTTTGCGTCGCTTCTTTTCGGATTGCTGGGTTCAGGGCTGGGCAAGTCCCGCGACGATCGGTTGAGTGGCTGGCGCGCCGACAGAGGCGCGAATAATACTGTGTGACGTCACTTCTTTCTTGTTCTGTTGTCGGTTTTATTTTTTTTGTGTAATGATCGCGCGGGAAATTTTGCTTCTTTTTGAAATTCTTTTTCGAATCTTGTCGAACCCTTGATGGCTCTCGGAATTTCGGACTTTTTTTGGGGATTTGTGCTTTATTAAAGCTTTTTTTGCATTTTTGCATTAGATAGGAATTTAGGAATTCGGAATTTTTTTTGCTGCGAGGTGTTCTTGCCCCCGCACTTCTTTTTGCGGCTGCAACGGAGCTCTAATTCGTCGGCGCCCTTAATCTTACGTGTAACTGTAATTTTGGTCAGGGCGCCTTTGTAACTGTATCTCTCTTCTTGAGCTTCGTCATTCCCGCCCTCTCTCTCTTCCTTGCTGTGTCTAGTTGGCCCGCGGGCTGCAT